GGCCTCTCCAGCAAAGTTTTCTTCTTTTTACTTTGAAAATAGTTTTATTGGCTCATAAGACCTTTGTATGTATATATATATACTCGAGATATATATGTATATATATGTGTGTGTATATGTGTGTGTGTGTGTGTGTGTGTGTGTGTGTGTGTGTGTGTATATATATATATATATATATATATATATATATATATATATATATAAATACCCCAGAACACTATGCAGTATTAAATCACAATTACAAGGGGGATAAAATGGTGACAGAATAAAAGGACATGTCCTGGGCCTTGTCCCAGAGCAGATAGAATGAGCAGCTGAGTCAAATAACATTCACCCAAAATTGAAGGAGACACAGCTAGTGAGACAATTCACAGCCAGGAAGGGCAGAAGACGCCTGGAGAAAGGTAAAATTCAGGAATCTGGGCTGGAGAAAACTGAGAGACCTCTGAGCCCAGAGGGTCAGAGAAACCACACATCACAGAGCCTTGTCCCTTCTGAGTAGATGACAGTTAAGATGCTATGCCAAGACTATAGTTTTTGAAATAAAATGAATCTAGATTTGAATCATAGCTTCATGATCTGACAGGCACAGTGCCTATCAGAAACGAGGTCCGCAGGGCTGCTGGTGGCAGGGGATTCTAGATCTGGTTCCACAGTCATGAAAGACTGAGCCTTGAGGGGGCAGCTTGGATGGCTGCCCAGACTGTGTGGGGCCAGGAGGAGAGGGGCTTGCAGACGCACAGCTTTCCCCTCTTTGTGGTCTTTGCTTTTCTTTGCTGAACCTAGTTCATAGGACCTTTTGGATACAGACACACACCCCTGGCTGAGGTTCAGGAGAAGGTGCATACTTGTGGAGACGGGAGAGGCTGGGGTGAGGAGAGGGCACAGGAGAAGTAGCTGTGAGTCTGGCACTGAGTCATACCTGTCAGGACCTAGGCAGCAATTTTCTCCTGAAGAGATAGCCCCTCCCTGCAGTCTCCTGGCATCCAATACAGCCACACCCAGAATACACCCTGACTGTTACAAAGGATACAAAAAATGTCTGAATAGTCTCTGAGAGTCCACAGGGACTGGCCTAAAGAGAGGCCTTCAGTCTCAAGAACAGAAACTGAGAAGCCACAGACAGTACAGAAGAGTGGGATCTTAGACACTTCACTTTTTCATTTTTATTTGATTTTATTATTACCTCTTTTTTCTTTATTTTCCTTTTTTCCGTTTATTTCTTTCCTATTTCTTTTTGCATTATTTTTCCATCATTCCAATTTATTTTATTTTTATCCTAATTTTTAAATCAAATTAAGAAATTTATTATTATTTTCTTCTCATTCTTCTTATCCACTCATCCTCTTTCTACTTCCTTTATACTAAACTGAATATATCCATATTCATCCAATCCTTAACCTTATTTTCTGTATATAAGATTCTGCCCCCACCCTCTTTACAGGGAATTTGGTGTATGTTTTGATTTACCTGTTTGTCCTCTAATGTTTTCTATACACACACACACACACACACACACACACACACTGAGTGGCCAGATTATTATGACCCCCCATCAGTACTTCTTTGGGCCACCTTTTGTCTTCAATACTGCTGCGATTCTTGACATTGACTCCACTAGATGTTGAAAGATGATGCAAGGAATCTGACACCATGCCTGATGAATAGCACTGTCCAGTTCTGTGAGATTCGATGGTTGTGGAACCCAGCTGCCTGATGGCTCTTTTAACTTCATCCCACAATGCTCAATTGGATTGAGATCTGGTGATTGTAAAGTCTCCCTCATGTTCTTGAAACCACTCCTGCACAATATGAGCACCGTGGCATGGCGCATTGTCTTGTTGGAAGAAGCCATCTCCATTGGGATACACCAGTGTTCGGCAAACTCATTAGTCAACAGAGCCAAATAATCAACAGTACAACGACTGAAATTTCTTTTGAGAGCCAAATTTTTTAAACTTAAACTTCTTCTAATGCCACTTCTTCAAAATAGACTCATCCAGGCCATGGTATTTTATGAAGAGTCACACTCAAGGAGCCAAAGAGCTGCATGTGGTTCGTGAGCTGCAGTTTGCCGACCACAGGTATACACCATCAACATGATAGGATGAACTTGATCAGCAATGATACTTAGGTATGTTGTGCTGTTCAGATGTTTTTCCACATGAATTAAAGGCCCCAAATCATGCCAGGGAAACATGCCCCAAACCATAACACTGCTCCCACCAGCTTGAAGGGTTGTACTCATGCATGTGGGATGTGTGCTTTCGTGTTGTTTCCACAAAATTCTCACTCTGCCAATCTGCATGATGCAACTGGAAATGTGATTCATAGGACCACATGACTTTTTTCCAATGCTCAACTGTCCAAGCTTTGTGTCCTGTGTGAATTGGAGACATTTTTATGTTGCTAACTGCAGATAGCAAAGGTGTTCGAACAGGCCTTTAACTTCCATATCCCATACGATGCAGTGTAAGGCTAATTTGCCTACAAATGTTAGGTGGTCATCATAATCTGGCTACTCAGTGTGTATATATACATACACATATACATATACATGTACATACATATATGTATACCCTTTTTCTTTTTTCTCATACCATTTTTCCCCCCGATATAATTTTGTGCTCTCTTTTCTCTGGTGGTCACTTATACTGGGGTTACCAGTGTTGTGAGTGCATTTGTTTTGTTCCCTCTGTGTCATGTCTTGCCAAAGTGAATTTTATCCTGTTTGGCCAATGTGCTAGAGAGCGAGCCACATAACCAGACACCCAGAGAGTAGACTCCATCCACGAAGGTGTCAATAACACTCCAGACTTAACTATAGAGGCAGGAAGAAGGTAGCAAGGAGAGAGCGTGAGTTAGTGAGGGAGCAAAAGAGGAGTGGGTGGTTGTGTGGGGTGTTGTGCCACACCAGCACGGCCAAGGGTGAACCTGAGGAAGAGCAATGAAGGATTGAAGAAAAGACAGACAAAATAATACAGCTGGGGCTCAGTAGATCTCCTGTGCCTGAATGAGGATACAAAAGACCCAGCCTGCAAGCTGATGCTTTATTTTATAGTCTGATTAAAACAAGGATAGATTAATAAGTATACAAATGTTCTTGTTTTGGCAACACTTGCTGCACCTCCCACAGCCCATTAGCTACTTAGGAAGGAATTAGGGAGGGCTAAGAGGTCAGGCTTAATTATGCTAGGAGAGCTCAGCCCTCTGAGCTGGGACTTGTGTGTGGCCCAGCCACAGGTCAGCCCAAGGCTTGACTCTAGAGCTGCTCCCTACAGGGTGTGTGTGTGTGACTGAGGCACAGTTAGATCCCACAGGCCTTCAGAGGCAGGCTAACCAGGCTCACCTAACTCAGCAGCCACTGCTTCCTCAGAGGCCTAGCCTTTTTTTATGGGAAGAGCTGCTGTGACTGGGAGCCTAGCCTCACCCAGGGTACCCTCAGATAACATCTGGGACTATATAGCCACCCCCACCAGGGACCTGCTACCTCAGCTGTGGTCCCATGACCACCGAGACCATAGCTAAGACTTGGAAATAGCCTAAGTGCTCATCAGCAGAAGAGTGGATTACAAAACTGTGGTGTATCTACACAATGGAATATTATGCTGAGGTAAAAAAAGAAGAAATTCTTACCATTTGCAACAGCACAGATGGAACTGGAGAGCATTATGCTAAGCGAAATAAACCAGTCAGAGAAAGATAAATATTATATAATCTCACTCATTTATGGAATATAATGAACAACGTAAACTGGAACAAAAACATCCAGAGACAGAGAAGCATGGATCAGACCGCCAAACCTCAGAGGGAAGGTAGGGGAAGTTAGGGGTAATGGGGAGAGGTCAACCAAAGGACTTGTATGCATATAAGCCTAACCAATGGACAGTCAACAGGGGGGTGAGGGCATGAATGGTGTTTTTTTGGGGGGTAATGGAGCAATAAGGACACATAAGTAATAAATACCTTAATCAATAAAGAAATAAAAAGAAAAAATCACAATTATACATATATATATATATATATATATATATATATATATATATATATATATTTATCAAAGCTACCCAGAATATCATTTTTAAAGGGGAAAAAATCCTACAGATCTGAATTCTGGAAAAACATGATTTAAATACTATGACAAAATAGATAATTCCTTATCACATTAATTCATTGCATAGAGCTGCCAGACATTTCCATATGCATAACCATTGCAGAGTGCAAATGAACACAATTCAACATTACACACGTTAGCTAAGTAGCTGTGCCACCACTTAAGAAACTGAAATTTCTGGCACAAAGAGTTGGGCTATTTTAACTTTTACCAGGAAACCAACTTCACAATCCATTTACTCTCTTTATGGCTATTCATATTTAAAAAAAGGAAGAAGAAAAAAGAATAGACTCACTCTATTCATTTTTGAGAAAATATCCACTAAATACCCAGCAATGATGGTGTTCCCCTAAGAAAGGCTAGTTTACTCCCTGCACAGTCACACAAGGGCTGTCCTTTGAAACAGTGTCATGCTTTAGGATGCACCCATCTGTGTGTGTTCTCACTGTCGGTGATGGGAGAGAATGTGGTGCAGATAGGTACACTGCCTGGATTTGTGCTAAGGTGACCACAGTTTTGCTCACAATACTTTTGTCCCATTAACATAAATACCGACAAAGTGAAAAGGGCAAATAATGTCTTAATATTATTACAAAAGTAACTTGGACTTTGTGGATCCCTGAAAAGGTCTCAGGGATGGAGCTGTGAACCACACTCTGATTACCAGTGTTTCAGAGTGACATCCAGAATGCAGCTGGAACCCCTCCCTGACTAATTGCTAGGATTACAGGTAGCTACAATGGAGAATCAACCTTCAATTAAAAATGTCACTCAACATTAATTTTAAACCTGCAAACCTGATGGATTTGACAAATTCCACTGTTGAATTCTGGCCCCCAGAGAGTATGACCTGCCAGATTTCTTATACCAACACCGGCTTACTTACTTCATGCTGCAGTGGGATGGTTGGCACACAGCCCTCCCCGCTGCTTCCACCTGCCCTCAGTAGGACAGGATCCCGAATGTCCCCGTTGGGCACCTGCACGGTTATGTACTGGGCCAGGCTCTGCACACAGCTGCTGCAGTGCTCTAGCGCCTGCTGCTTGGACTCTCCACTGAACTGTACCCGGAACATGCGACTCTTGTTCTGTTTGACAAATAGAAAGTTATTCTAAGGGACTGTTGTCATATCACTAAACTTTTATTTACTGCATGGTCTGCTAGAGAGTGCTTTCCTTTGCTCAGAGGAAAAGAGATACAGACAATGGAGCATTCACCCTAGATTGTTGATGTGAGTATAGAAAAGCTAATAACCAGTTTTCTTCCCACTCTTGAGAGCTGTTCCTTTTACTAAAATTCATTTTCTTCAGGGAACAGATATTAGTGAAAATAGAAAACCCATCTTATACAGACCAAGAAGATGACATACTGACTGCAGTAAAAGACCAATGTCTTGTCTTACTTTGGAATAAAGATTAGATAACTTTTAATTCCTGAAGTAAAAATCAGTGAAGATGATACAGCATATTCCTGCCTCAACAAAAATTTTTTAAAACTGAGTATATAAAAGAGCAAACCAGGTTGATGCCATGTTAAACAAACCAATGAATTTAAAAAAACAAGATTGGGGAATGGGACAGTCAGGCTGATGCTAAACACTAATGTGTGCCATGTTAGTAATCTGTAATATCCTTTATCTTTCCAAAGACCATGTTACATATCCTCAAACTACACAGAATTACATATTGTTTTTAATCTGCTCTATGATTTACATCCCTTGGAAAATAAGCAAATTTGGGAGAGATGCAATTAACATTTTTTGAATCTGACAACTACATCAACTTTGATTGTGAGCAAAAATTTAAATTATAACAACAACCACAACCACAAAAACCCATTACTTTAAGAGAAGTAGTTTCCTCTTTTCTAGTCTAATACTAGAGGTCTGGTGCACGAAATTCGTGCACTGGGGGCGGGGAAGGGGGGGGGCGGTGTCTCTTAGCCCAGTTGGCACCCTATCCAATCTGGGACCCCTTGGAAGATGTCCAACTGCCAATGTAGGCCTGATCCCAGGGACTGGGCCTACACTGGTAGTTGGACATTCTTCTCACAATCTGGGACTGCTGGCTCCCAAATGCTCACCTGCCTTCCAGCCTAACCACCTCCTAACCACAATCCTGTCAGCCTGATTGACACCTAACTGCTTCCCTGCTGGCCTGATTTCCCCCAACTGCCCACCCCTGCTGACTTGGTCCCCCCCAATTCTCTTCCCCTGAAAGCCTGGTGGCCCCCAATTGCCCTCCCTTATGGCCTGGTCCCCCAAAATGCCCTCCCCTGCTGGCCTGGTCCCCCTCAACTGCCCTCTCCAGCTGGCCTGATCGCCCACAACTACCCTCCCCTGCTGGCTATCTTGTGGCAGCTATCTTTTTTTTCTTTCTTAATTTATTTAAAACATATATGACTGTACAAAGAAAACTATAAACTCCACAATAAAATGATATAACATGCTATTTGTAAGACATGACAACTATAAAATAATAGAGTAATGAGGTAAACTTGTCTATGTAGTTACAAAGTTTTTATGTGTAGTGGTACAATAGTAACTGTAAATAGGCTTTATAGAGTTACATCTTACCATGGGTTTGTTTTACATAGGTGTGTGCATTTGTGAAGACTCATTAATTAGTATAGTTAAGATTTATGCATTTTATTAAATGTCAATTTTACCTAAAAATAAAAAAAGCATAAAAAATTATCTTTAGCAAATGATATACAAGTTGAAATCTTCAGGAATGAAGTGTACTGTTGTCTGAAACTTATTATGACCTGTATCCAAAACATTAAGACAGGCTGATTGTACAGAGATGGATAACTGTGGTGAAGTGAATGCAGTAAAATTTAAATTGCAGAATCTATTAGGTCTAGTAATAATTAATGTCGTTTTCTAATACCTTTTTTAAATCGAATTTATTTAAACAATACAACAAAATTTAATCAACAATATAGTTGCCATTGTTTTCTACTACTTGTGCCCAACGCTCAGGAAGCATTTTAATCCCTCTGTTGTAAAATTCTTGTGATTTTGATGCAAAAAATTCTGTCAATGCATTTTTGAGGCATTCTTCATTATTAAATTTTTTTCCAAGAAGAAAGTTTTGCAAAGAACAAAACAAATGGTAATCGGAAGGGGCAATATCAGGAGAATATGCAGGTTGAGGGAGAACTTCCCATTCCAACTGGTGCAATTTTTCAGCAGTGATTCTTGCAGTATGCGGTCGTGCGTTATCGTGGTGAAGAATTACGCCCTTCCGATTAATCAGCACGGGTTCTTAAAGCTTGGGCTAACCTTTCCAATTGGGCACTATACACTGCACTTGTAATGGTTTGGTTAGATGGTAAAAGTTCATAATGAAGAATTCCTTTAAAATTCCACCAAACACACAACATCACTTTTTTCGCATGCAAGTCAGGTTTCAGCGTGGGCTGCGGAGCCTCATTTTTGTCCAACCATTGAGGCCACCTTTTCAAATTAACATACAGCACCCATTTTTCATCTCCGGTAACAATTTGCTCTAAAAACGGCAAATGGTTTTGACGCGAGAGGAACGAACTGCAAATTGTGACTCTTTGATTACGGTTGTTGTCGGTCAACTCATGAGGAACCCATTTTCCAAACTTTTGGACTTTGCCAAGTGCACGCAATTGATTGGAAATTGTTTTTTGTGAACAATTTAAAGTTGTCGCAAGCTCTTGTTGGGTAATTTGAGGATTTTGCACCAAAAGAGCTTGAAGAGCTTCTTGATCAAAATTGGACACACGGCCTCGACCACTCTTGTCATCTAACGAAAAATTTCCCTCGCGAAATTTCTCAAACCAACGCTGGCATTTTCTGGCGCTAACTGCATCTTGACCAAGAGCACTACAGATGTTTTTTGCAGCCTCACTTGCTTTTCTTCCTAATTGGAACTCGTAAAGCATGCAGTGCCGAATATGCTCTTCATCCGCCATCTTCTTAGTCCTAGTTTTGCAACAAAAACCAAACCAAACACAAACTTTTTCAAGCAAAACTTGTTAATTGCACTTCACACGTTCTGTAGATACCACGTGTTTGAAGGTTATGTCAATACAAGTCAACGCCAAGCAAGATTTTAAACGAATGTTAAAAAACGACATTAATTATTACTAGACCCCTAGGTAGGAGTACACAGAAAGAGAGAAGGAGATAAATAGAGAGGGCAAAGTGCCATGCACTGGAAAATGGAAACGATAATAAATGTTAGCACTACTCATTGTTTGAAAATTTTATATGATAGTTTTGAAGTTAACTAATTAGTTCTGAAGTTAAAGATTAGTATTATTTTGTCATGGAATTCAAAATTATGTACCTGTGAAACTTATTAAGGTATTTGTTTCTCAATCTTAGAAAGTGCTTACTCATTACCAGTCGAAAACTCCCTTTGATTTTCAGAAGTTGATTACCTTATGATTCGTCCTTGAAAATTCTTAGTAAATCATTCAGTTGTAATATTGACTTACATCCAGATCTGGAAGAAAACTCTGATTCCACACCTCTAGTTATAGTGTCTACTCCTCCAGTTCTCTCCCCATAAACTAGCGGCCCTATCCATCACACAGTGTATCATTCCAAAGCTGATGCTTTTCACTTAGAGGTATTTCCAGGGAACTTTTGACTTACTATATAAATATACTGTTCTTTATCATTCCAATATTAAGTGTTTTAATCACTAAATAATTATTAATTAAGATATACTTCATACATTTGCTCTCCATTAAGCAGTATTTTTCTTCTCATTACCCAACCATGTAACATTTGTGAAGGCAGAGCCCATGTCTAGGTTTCATGAGTACCTACCACAGTACTTAGCGTGTGGAAGACCCTTGGACATATTTACTGAATGAAAAAATAAAGAATATTTACTATTATTCACAATATGCCTTTCTCAACTGATACTGAATAGAAATCATCAACATTAGGGCAACAGTAAAGTTTGACTATTAGTTCAAATATAAGTTATAATAATATTTTGTTCTCATATATGTAAATCTTCTTTTTTAAAAAAACATATTTTGCTATCCTAAATGGTTTAAAGGTTATTGTGACTTGACTAACTCAGAAGTTTCAAAAATTAAAAGTCAAGTGATAAATCTATATTTAAAAAAACAAGTACTTACTTTGCATACTAACAAATCAAACTCTTTTCAAAGTTCAAAGGGAAGAGAAGCTGTACTGATTTGTATCAAAGTAAGATTCAATTTTTATAAAGACTAATAATCTCATATCAGAATCAAATAAATTTCAGAACTCAGTTTTGAGAGAAAAAGGAAAGGTTTTAATTAAAATCTTTACAATAAAATAATTATGATTATAAATCTCTAGTTAAATATGTACATATTACATGGTATTTTAAAAAAGAATGGAAGTGAATAAAGTTTTTCAGGCAAATCTAATACACAAATATACCATCTTTTAGAGTATAATGTCAGTTTAACATTCTTAAACAGCTGTGTCAGACAATGGCTCTGCTTTGTGCAAAACATGATAAGCAAAATTAAGAAAAATTCCGCAAAATTCTTTAGTTCCTCAAGAAAATGACTAAAAAAGAAAATAGAAAAGAAAACAAGATTGTACACTCAAGTATACAGAGGCTAGAAAGACTGGCACTAATGTAACCCCCATATCTGCTAAATAAATCCTTGGGTAGCTTTAGTTTGAAGTTAAAAGTTAAAGTCCTAGCAACTGTGCTTTTATGCAGCCACATGGCCAATAAGGTAGATGTTGTCATAAAGGTGCCCTACAAAATCTTCACTAATATTTTGAGCAGCCCGACAAGTATTTCGAATAAATTCTCGTTTTGACTAGCCCTCACATGAGGGCTAGTGAGGTCAATGGAAAGTAGAATCAAAGAGTAGCACAGTACATAGACAGCATCAGGACTAAGGTCAAGTTCTCTCATTAAATCAGGGTTATAAGCACAGAATCTATGTGAGAACTTTGTTATAAGAGTTTCAAGATATTCCCCACTCTCTTCAGGGGCATGGATGTGATGAAAAAATTCTCTGAGTGCATTAGGCAAGAATTGATTTATAAAATTATGCAGTGTTACAAGGTCATCCAAGACATCTCTC